TTCCGTCGATGAAACCTAAAAATTTGGCAGAAGCTCAACCTTATATTTTAGAAAATAATAACATTAGATATTTACAAAAGGCTGGTGGACATTCGAATTTCAATAAGCCACCTCAGCCTGCCCTTCCATCCAAACCACATTTTCAGAATTTGTTTAAGCCTCAAGTGCAGCCTATGAATCAATTTAGGCATCAGCAAAATTTCAATTATCAGCCTCAAGAGGACCAGTTCCGATTCAACCTAGACAAAATCCTCTTCCACAAAAATTTCCAACAAACACACAAGTTTTTGCCTTATATGCTCCGCTTTTACACGTAGACAAATTTAAGCATTATCATCTTTATTCCATTCCTACTGTTAACCAAACTACCATTATACCCAAAAATTCCTATTTCACAATGAGTACCAAAATGTACCAATATGATGCTGAACCATGTCAAAAGATAGAAGATATTTTTATCTGCCACGAAAACAAATTGGTCCATGTAGCAGAAGAAGAAGAAGACGATTGTCTATTGGCTATTTTACAAGTAAACAGAAAGCAGCCAGATTGTAACAAAACTTCCGTAACTCTTAAAATGGCCTTAATTAAAGAAGTTTCAAAGTCCAAATACATTGCTATTTTTCCGAAACCTGAAAAGGTGATAATCACGTGTGAACAAGATGACGTCATAGAGTTAAAAGCCATTTAAATAGTTGAAGTGCCTTACCAGTGCAGCCTCCAAACGAAGGACTACATTTACAAAAATCAAAAAGGAACAACCGTGGGAAAGCCGCTGTTGTTTCCAGAGGTCCACATTTCATCAAAAACAGAAAATCCAAACGAAATCAAGTTAGTACATATATCTTTAGATAAACTTCATCACTTACAAAAACGAGTCGCCCAAATCCAGGTAGACCTTCTCGAAACAGTGAAGCACCCCTACAAATGGAGTCTACCCCTGTAAGCAATTATGTTAATTGGAATTGCATGCATTTTCGTGAAAAAGTATTACCAGAGAAAAAAAGGATCAAGAAGACGCCAGCATTTAGAAAAAATCGAAATGCAACCCCAGAGGCACGAAGTTTTGTTTATGCCCTCCAAAACTTCATCTTAAGGGTGGAGGAGTTATGTTGCTGTCATTCAACACTTTATTAATTGCATTGTATTCCTTTTTACTAGCTCATCACTTTTGGTTTATATTAACGATTGTGTCTTAATTATGAGTCAGTCATTCAATCTTGGTCACAGCGAACTATTGTTGCAACCAAACAAAGTTTTTTAAAAACGAAGATTCAAGTTCCGACTACATAATTCCCACTTCTGAACAAAGAATGTATACTGGATGACAAAAAAAGGTAAACACCTACGTATGGTTATCCGATTTTAATAATTCTTGGCATACATGTTCAGTGTCCCTTACTAGCAAAATGATTGAATTTACAGCTTTATTCGTCAACTGACCTATCATGTCTCAGACATGTTCAATTGGAAATAGGTAAGGCGATCGTGGTGGCTCAGGTAAACGGTTGATGTTATGTTGATCCATGGAAGCTAACGATGCCCTGGCGACATGCGGTCTGGCATTGTCTTGCTAAAAAACCGGGTCTTAGATACTGTTTAGGTATGAAATAAGATGAGGCTCCTACAGCGTCGGGCTGTTAGATTGCCTCCGGTGAAAATTAGTCGTGATCCGCTACCATAAGCAATAGCACCCCATACCATAACGACGCTCTCCGTCAAACTGTGGGACACGTCTTTCCCCACGTCGCCTTATTACACTTGCCCGACCATCATGCATTCCCAGACAGAAGCGTGATTCGTCACTAAAGTCCACCTGATTCTATGCTCGATACCATTATTATTCCTCTACACCAGAGCAAATGGTTACGCCGATGTTCAGCTGTGAGAGAAAAAAGATCAAACTGTCGTATTCGGCGATATACCGTACGCATACCAATCATCCTGCCCTGCTCTTCAAACCACTGACTAGCGGTGGCTCGAGTACTACTGAATCTGTATCTCAGAGCCAGAAGCCTTAACCGGCGATCTTGTCGCCCTGTGGTCCCTCTGGGACGTCCAGAACCCCACACTCGCTGTTCTCGGCCTTCCTGAGTTCACGCTCGTTCACACTGCAGTATACTGCGTAAGGGTCTGTTGGTTCTCCTAGAATATTCTCTTGTCGATAGACCGGCTTCACGCAACCCAATTCGGCCTCTCTCAAAGTCACTTAGCTGGGACACCCGGCGAATTCTACGCACTCTAGGCATTTTGAACAATCACAAAAAGGATTCTCAATGAGCTACACAAAATTTAACAACAAAATGTACGAAAGCTGAATGCTTCTTTATCACTAAGCAATACACGCAGCCACCACAAAAACTTAACATAAAAACCTGACCATTTTATCATTTGTTGTTCATGGCAACATAAAGTGATATGTAACAAGTTCTTAAATTCCAATAAACATACCTAGGAATTTCTGCAGCACCTCAACGATCGACATCCAAGCTTACAATTTACCATGGAGATAAAGGGTGAAAAACAACTGGCCTTCTTGGACGTGCTAGTCAGGAAGCGAGGTAACAAGCTGCGTCAAACAGTGTACAGGAAACCATCGCACACTGACAGATACCTGCACTCTTTGTCCAGTCATCACCCAAGTCAGAAGTATGGAGTCATCAGAATCCTGACAGAACGAGCTCGAAGGATTTGTAAACCGGGGAACCTCCAGACAGAACTTAAACACCTGAACATTGCATTCGAAGCAAATGGCTACAGCAAGAGGGACATCGAAAGATCAATGGGCTCGAGATCAGCCAGGCCACGTGAAACCGGACAGCGTCCCATCACTTCTCAAGCGTATCTTCCATTTATGCCAAGAGTCACGGACAGGATTGGCAGAGTCCTGAAGAGACATGACATTAAAACAATCTTCAACAAACCATAGGATCGGCAAAAGACAAGAAGCAGGAGTCTACCGCATACCGTGTTCATGCGGCAAAGTATACATTGGAACCACGAAAAGATCAATGGGAACGAGACTCAAGGAGCACAAAGCAAATTGCCGGCTAGGACAAACTGAGAAGCTGTAGCTGAACAAGCACCCTCAGACTTAACCCGATCTGGCACCCAATCCGCAGAAACGCCCGAGCAGTGCCGATCGACATCCCGAAGTCAACCGAAGCGGAACAAGTCACGTCCCCTACCCTCTGGTATAAACACAACCTGCGCAAGGGAAATCGTCAATCGTCAGTCTATATCCAGCATCGGAAATGGAAGGACGTCTGAAGAAGCTTGCCACTCGTGCTAGCGAAATGTTAGGAAGAAATTCCAACCGACGACGTCCTTTAGACCCGAATCAAGACAGCAGTTTATAAGTAGGTGTTTACCTTTTTTTGTCACTCAGTATATGTAAACAATAAAATCATCACTTTTGTAGAAACGATATAATTTTTCTTAATACGCTTGTGATTGCATTCTCTTTCAATCTCATTTACAATAATGTCTGTAAGGTGTCTTGGGGACGGGCAATGGAATCGAACGAAAGATATTTGGTTTAATTTCTTTTCCTGTCAAATTATACCTAAACGTGTAGTTTTAGATATCAAGTGTGATCTATGAAGTCAGTTTAAAATTTACTAAGGAATTCAAAGATGCAATAATATACAAGAGGTTTGTTAAAAAAATACAACTTTTATACGAGCTACTCTATATAATTGTTGTGATTTAAGTGAAAATATTTTCAATATGTAGCCTTACCTTCACCATAAACCAGTGAATTCAAAAATATGTGTTAATGAACCCACAACTTGCCGTCCACGCTCTATTGGCTCACTCTGTATTTGCTGTCCGAGATGAAGCATAGTGGGGAATGTACTCTATCAAGGAACGTACTTGTTAGTTCTACAATATAAATAAGCGTCCATTATGAGGCTTAAGATCAAGGAGTTATTTCGTAAGCACACTTTATTCAAAATACCAATTAACACTGGCGTTTTTTCTAAATATTTCGTGCCATATCGCGCCTATGGCCGACGAAATTGAATTATAGGTGATTTACTTCTCATACGCTCGAGTACGACAGATACTATGGACTCTGGGGAGATGCCTTCCTAGGTATTTCAAAAACTAAATAAAATATGGACCCTTAGTTTCCCAGTAACGTTGTGACGCTGCCTAGGTTTCATCTTGTACATTTCCATAATTGTTCCTCCTTATGGGTAATAAAACCTCAACTACGGATTTGTCAACGTTTCCCCAGAATTACTTTAAGACGATAAGATATACTGCTTTGAAATTTTGTGGTAAGGCTTCAACGCCCAAAAAGTTTCTTACGATATGTTGTTTGAGGATTTCTATGAATTTTGTTACTCGTGAAAATGGAACAACGGGGGAAAACCCCGAGTTTCGACTGGGGTGCGTCTTGAACATGTAAAAATTCCAGACGTTTCTATGAATTGACACCACCTTGAGCGTTGTAAAACTATAAGGGCTAGACAATCTAGGAGAAAACAAGAGCAATAGTTTACGAAATGTATGAAACAGGTGAGCCTCTGAGGAACATGGAGGTAGAGATCGATTGACTCAATGTCTCCATGGATCGGTGGATACCCCTACGTGAGCGATGGAGCAGAAACTATCCTTATGCCGTCCCATATCAGGTAGGTGAAACAACAAACAAAAACAGAGCTTGTGCAACAGTTGCTGTCACCTACCAAGATTTGGTCATATGGTGCGCAGTAACTAGCTCCTCCCGCGGAACGGCGCCAATACAGCATGGTACCTTGTCCGCCGTTATTCTAGTAGCGTGCCGAGTACCGTCAAACGAGAACCTCACTACTGCAGATATAAGAAATATTATCTATAATTTCCATTTAACAAACTCGCCTTGAGTAACAGTCGGAGCGCTTAGGAAGATATACTAGAAGAAGATTTCGATTGGCAAAACAGAATAATAAAAAACTACTCATCGAGAAATTGGACATTCTTCAGCTATCTACAGAAAATCAAGTACTTACCAATGCTAGTAAGTGGGGTCTTTTTTCCAAAATATCCAAAGGAAAGCTGCTAACTATGATCCATGCAGGTAGTTCCGACGGCTTCATAAATGACGGTTTATTGACTTTTAAGTCAGGTACAAACAGCGGAAATCATCATGACGAGATGAATAGCTCAAATTACGAGAAATGATTGAAGCAGCAGCTTATTCTCAATTTGCCACCAAATTCTGTGATAGTTACTGATAATGCACCTTATCACAACATACAAGGGGATCCTGCACCAAGCTGCAACGCTCGGAAGCAAGTAATGGATGACTAACTTGTATCTAAAAATCACGCCGACTATGCTGAAACTACAACTTTATGAATTGATAAAACAAAATTGGCAACAACTCATACACTATAAATATGATGTACTTTTACGCATGCATGGACACACATGTATACGACTATACATTTCTGGCACTATATCTTGAGCCTCCTCTTACTGTCCTAGTCAGAAGTGTCTATACCTGTACGTGTATTTATAACCTTCCAACATATTTGCAACCTATCGGAAAGGTGAGTATACCGTGTCGGCTGTGATAAAAATATGTTTTCGGAACAACATAGAGCACATTAATCATGCGTCAAAAGCTTTAACCATTAGTGGGGCATTACACCAAAACATATGTCGTTTCATGCAAGACTTTAGTTTCATTTGTAAACGTCGCCCGTTATTAATATTTGAAGATGGGAAAGGCGGCTGAATTTTTCTATACGAGGGTAACATTATGGGTAGTGCTAAAAGTTTCAACCGAAAACAGGAATGTTATTGAAGATACTGATAGGACTCTACAGGCGTTAAATGAAACCACTATTTTTACTAGGCAAACAATCGTGGAGTCCTACTAGTATAATAGGTGAACCAGATAACTGCTGGGGATGAGAATTTATACGGAATGCTCCTAAAGTATGAGTAAGACGGGGGTTACTCTGAAACCTCATAGCATAGAGAATAAACAAGGCATACAAGCCTATATAATTTTGCCCTGGCAATCTAATAACTTTCACCTCAATGAAATAAAAACCGATTCATTGATGTCATAATAGTTTGCAGTAGAAAATTCTATATTCTGGTGCGTCCTTCGTTAGATATATCGCTTAGATGTTGTATATAAATATGGGTGTTTCGCAACTTATCCGACAAATTCTAAACAGATATGCACTGTTACGAAAGAAGTTGATTTCTAAAAAAAAAATGTAATACAGGTCCTACTAAAATCAATACTAATGAAATTATACAGTTTAACAGTTCACTTACTCATAAAAGCTGTTCAAAATTGTTTGCAAGGCAAGCTTGGGCGCAACTAATCCAATTTCGGCGCACTTATTCAAATACACCTCCTTCCAGCTATGCCTGAAGGCCCAAATTATCGGCAGCCGCTGTGATTCGGTCACGCAATCCTTCAATATTGTAAACTGGACTATGGTATACCTCGTTTTTCAAGTATCCCCATATAAAGAAGTTTAGAGGATTTAGATCGGGAAACCGTAGAGGCCATGCAATTGGTCCACCCCTTCCGATATAGCGTATCTGGTATACCTGATTAAAAATATCGCGAACTTCTAAACGAAAATGCGGAGGTACCCCATCGTGCAGAAACCACATCCGTGCTCGGACCGCCAATGGCACATCTTCCAAGTACTAGTGAAAATGAACGATCCAGTTAAACGTTAATGGACAATACCTGCCCACACGTTTAAAGAAAAACGATGTTGGAAGTGTGTCTGGACGACTGCGTGAGGATTCTCAAAGGACCAAGCATGTCTATTATGAGGATTGGTTCTCCCATTACGATTAAAAATAGCTTCATCGGTGGTCAACATATCAGCTGTAAAACGGACATCTCCAGCATTTTCTTGCAACATCCACTCACAAAATCTTACTCTTACGAGGTAGTCTGTAGGTAGCAACTCCTGGACTCTCTGGACGTGATAAGGGTACAAATGGGCATCATGTAATTATACACCACGCTGTTGCATGTGACACTTCTGGAACCTGTTGGGCTAATTGCCTTGTGCTAATTTCCGGATTTTTTTCCACAATATCACAAATTTCGTCTTCGGCATTTAAAACGCGTTGTGAACGAACCCGACCTCCATCGACTCCACGTCTGGGGCGCTCATCTCCACTAGCACGGGCACGTAAAACCATTGAACCAAATGCTTCGTGATGTGGTATGTGCCTACTCGGAAATCGCTGTGCATACAAACGAGAAGCCGCTTACGAATTTTGCCCTGCTTCTCCGTACGCTAAAACAATGCCCACTAACTCCTCATTAGTGTACACGTGAACCATTTTTATTAATAAATAACTAAAAACATAAACTCGCGATATACTTTTTTATTTAACTTCACAAAAATGGAAAGTTCTTCATTCAGATCACCCACGATACAGATTAACCCTTGCTAACACGATCTTATCAGTATGAAAAAACATAAGTTCCTAGTATCTTGTTTTCGTCAATTGTTTGGTACAGCATTTGAATCAATAATATTATTGATGCGTGTTCTAATATCACTATGATGAGCGCAAAATGCAGATATTTATTTGTCAATTTATTATTGAAACTCAGGCTTATAACTTAATTTCTGTAAGACTTTTGTAATTATTTTTTTGAGAAATCAACTTCTTTCATAACAGTGCATATGTGGTTAAAATTTTTCGGATAAGTTGTGAAACACTCTGTATACATATCAAATACAAAATACATATTATGGATAACAGTCATGAGTATACACAATGTTATACTATATAAAAACCATAATAGGAACAACTATTTTGAAGAGCCTGCAAGTGATTGTGGAATCAATAAACTATAACAGTAATAGCATTTTTTCAAGTCCACTTTTAAGACGGGGTATGAATGTTTAACCTGGGTGAACTAGATTTGTCACATGCTTAATAAAGAGTGGTTTGAAACATATTGTAAGTCAAAAATTTGGGAATTACCTTTATTCATCGTCGCTTCCACTTACATCTGACAGTAATTAACTGTCGCTATCGCTTTCCTCGTTGAAATTGACTATAACTGGCTCTATGATGGTGTCGATGTGGTGGTCAAGCTGCCACATTTTTGTTTCTTCCTTCACAACGTGACGGATAGCATTCTGCCAAGCTTCGGGCGTTACTAGCTGTATGGAAGTCTCAAGTAAAACCTTAACGTCTGGTAATTTGAAGGTTGTGTTATGGCGCGCAATATAACCCTTCACTTGAGCCCAGATGAGCTCTATTGGGTTCAGTTCACAGTGGTAGGGCGGTAACCGCAGCACACTGACACCACATTGACGGGCCATCTCATCAGTCACGTAACTAATGTTCGCAGGTTTGCGCTGTTTAATTTTTTCATACAATTCCGCTTTCACACATGAATCGTCAAACGGGATTCCTTTTTCGCGCAACCATTGCTGCATGTCACTTTTTCGAGATCCCATAGTCGGTACACGTTCGGCTCGACGACTATGGTAGGAAGCATTATCCATGACGATCACAGAGTTGGGCTCAACTCGCTGAAGCACCCGTTGAAACCAACTCTCGAAGCAGCTGGCATTCATTTCGTCATGGTAATCACCTCCTTTCTTAGAGACGACAATCAAGTCACACTCTTCTAAAAAGCCACTATCGCTACCAATATGAGTTACGATCAATCTTTGACCTTTCCCTGACGGTCCACGAAGACCTGTTGACAAACCTTCAATGCTTGCTTGTCGGTTACTCACTACGTTTTTGTCTATCCAGGTTTTTTTAACTGTGTGACCTGCATTTACCCATGTCTCGTCCAAATAATAGATTTTTCTGCTTTGTCGCCTATATTCAATCATTTCGCGTAGGCATTTTCGACGCCAGGCGACTATTTCAGGTCTCTCTATCAATACTGACTTCCGATTACGCGTTTCGTAACGAAAACTAATTTCGTGCAGGGATTTCCTCATTACCTCGACGCTCATTTGGGGTATAATTTCATTTTCCTTGATCGCTGCATGTACAGCCTTGAGGGTTGGTATCTCATTCCTAAAGAAGAATGAATGTACGGTTCGGCTTAACGCCATTTTGCTGTCGTCATCCAATTTAACTGCCTTTCGTCCCTTCCAATTAAACTTTGGATCAGTAGTAGCTCCAATTTTCTTCTATTCATGCACCACCCTGCGAATGGTCCACTCTGGAACGCCTGTCATACTTTCACAACGCGCGAGTGCATCTCCCTGCGACATAGTTCTGTTCAGATAATTGAACACGTTGAGCACGATTTCTTTCGCGTCCCTCTTCAGTGCTCTACGAAGCCGTCTACTTGTTCCCTGGCTTTCAGTACTTCCACTCGTGCCATTTGTACTCTCCATGGTTAAGTGTAACCAAAACAGTAACCACAGAAACCACAACAATAACAATCACACAACAATTCTTATAAAAACACACAATATGCGATCGCTCAATGAAACACGTTCCAATGCGTTGCCGACGCCTATGAGTCTGCCGGTCGAGTCGCGTCTTTGATTTCATTGGTTCTACCGGCGGAGAACAATCAGCCATTATTTCCATCTCTGTCTGTACTGTTGACCACCGCAAAGCCACAGAAACGACATATGTCGTACGCTATACGGCTGTACTGGAAGGAAGCCGGGATCGAGCTCTGATCACGTGTTGATCACGCGTATGAGTTATTACAGTTTTAAATAGTTGTAGTATAATACTCTAATTCACTAAGCAAATACCTTAGGATATATACTTTTAGATTTTATAAATCGAGGTAGCCTGAAAATGCAATGGAATATTGAAATTTCAAAACATTTTCTCTGATATAATATCTAGTTATGTGCTCTTGTCTGTGTATATCGCTGCGAAGAAACCTCATACAACAGTTTTGAAGAATTTGGATTTTCTATTTCATTTCCTCCGAAAATTATATTGAACTGTAATTACATAATCTAGCTGAGTAAGAATTAGTGAATTAACAAGTCTTGCTTTAATATCACTTGGTAATACACCCTTGTTTCTCCAGAGAGATTTATATTTAAACATACCCTAAGTTTACATAGAACATGACCCTCAAAATATAAATTTTGGGTCTAACATTATTGTCAAAAATCTTTCAATAATGGTTTCATCAAAAACTATATCTGTATTAATTGCTTGTTTACACTTCGAAACCGTCAACCTAGAACCAATGCAAGAAACCTCGACATTGAAGGGGTTAAGCTTTAAGCAATAATTTCTTGAATCATTTTCGATAGTCCTTAAATTCACACTGAGCTCAATTATTAGGGAATTTATGTTATTTGGTCTACATGCTTTATAAATTTGGACGTCATCCGCATGAAATGTACACTCCAGTCAGGTGTAACACGAGGGTGGTGAAAATGGACATAATCGGTACCAAGTTATCATTCATTATTTGTTTTCGAAAGACAATACGCCTACGCAAATCAAAGATCAGATGGATTTCCACAGTTAAATTTTGGGGAATTGAATTTAAACGTGGCTGTAGGAGCTTGGGAGACGATGAACGTTCGGGACGTCCAAAAACTGCAACTACCGACGAAAACATCGCCAAAGTTTGGCAAATGGTGCTAGACAATCGCCAAATTAAAGTGAGGGAGATAGCAGGGGTTATCAATATGTCAAGAAAACGTGTTTGTCACATAAGTCAACATTTAGGCGTGTGCTCACGTTAGACCAAAAGCGCGTTCGAATGAACATTTCCAACGCTCTGTTGGCGCAGTTTAGGCGCAATAAATCCGAGTTTTAGCGCCGATTAATTACTGTAGATGAAACTTGGATACACCATTATATGCCCGAAACAAAAATACAGTTCAAACAGAGGACTGCAAATGGGGAACCAGCTCCAAAAAAAAGGCAAAATCTGTTTTTTCGACTGGAAAAGTGATGGCGACTGAAAAAAACTTTGCAGGAGTAAAAACGCCAACATTTTCAGAAAAAGAAAATCCTGTTTCATCAAGACAAAGCACCGTCTCACACCTCCGCGGTTGCCATGGCGAAAATTCACGAATTACGGTTTGAATTGTTTGATCATCCGCCTTATTCACCAGATCTAGCTCCAAGCGACTTCTTTTCGTTCCCTCATCTAGAGATGGCGCTCGGAGGACATATATTTTCGTCCAGTGAAGAGGCAGTCACCTTCGGAAACAATTATTTTGCAGAGAAAAACGCCGAGTACTATTTGGACGGGTTACAGAGATGGGAGCATCGCTAGGAGAAGTGTGTAGAGTTACAAAGAACCTATGTTGAAAAATTAAAAAAAAAATCAGAAAAATGTCTTACATCTTAGGTCGGAAACTTTTATGACCACCCTCGTAAAATCTATCAAATCTGAAGTGTAGAAACTAAACAGTATATGCCCTAAAACACCTGATTTTACATCTCGTAAAGTGGATATTTTACGGCAAATTTTTACACATTGGGATCTGTCAGCCAAATAGTTGATGAACCATTTACAATGCATTGTCAGATAAACCACAAAGTTGCAATTTTCTACGTAGACTGTGATTGACCATGTCAAATGCCTTGGTGTAGTCTAACATTGTTTCTCCTTGCTATAGTCTAACATTTTGTTTCCTCTTATCGTTACTTACTGACTACATTTTGAATTCAAAGTTAACCAAGAATAAACACTAGAACGTTCACGGGCATATAACTCCGAATGTCAATTTTTTTCCCAACTATTGTCCGATAATAGGTATGGTGAGCCCATTTCTAGTAGTGATCACCATAATTTGCGCTAAATATAACCTTTTCAGATAGACCACACCGCGCCTATTCGCTGTGAATTCTGACTACATTATCACAGCGGCCACCACTTGGTTGAACTGCTAGCACCTACAGCTTTGGCCATAGAATCTATGACATCATCATCAATCTACAACAACATATCAAGCTTATCTAATTTGTGCTACTAACCAATTTTTTGATACTACATCCTACATGCCAAGTATATTCTGGTTTTCCATGTTTTTCTTTGAATTCAAATAACTTTCCACTAATACGATTGACGAGATCTCAACCCAACCTATCTGTACAACTTCCAAACCTGATAACTCGATACATGTATGTGCATGCGCCCTTCTATCCTGAACCAACAATTGGGCTGAATGTGGCGTGAGCAGCGTTCAAAAGCAGTTGAAATAGTGGTGTCGTCTGACATCTAGCACTGATAAATATAGGTAAGGTAGGGACACCCATTTTGTTTCTTATCCAAATAGTTATTTAGATTCTCGCCTTGTATTGGAAAATATTGATACACGGCGCGGAAATGTAGCTTTGCTGTCCAGTTTTCTGTTTTGAGTGATCCAGATCAGATGATACAAAAGCCCGTTTCTCAATGGCAAGTTAACTCTCTGGTAAGTTAACTATAACCAGAAAGTTAACTTGCAGTTACCTGTAAATGCATTTTGGTAGCTCTACTTAACTCACCAGGGGTCTGATTCTAAATGAGCTTCGACAGTTAAAATTGATTTCGATGGCGCCTTGTTATGATATACTTGATTCACTATGATAATTTTGACATCTGATTATATTGATCTTCTATATTGTAACTATCGTGGCAGTGCCAATATTATCATAGCTAATCAAGTGTATCGTCACTAGGCGCCACCGAAATCTATTTCAACTGTCGAAACTCATTCAGAATCTCATCACATTTTTATGTTGCAACCCTGCATCTGCGGTTCTTAGATATCATGTTCTCTGTATTTCGTGTGCTCTGCGTCAATGTTTTGAGTCATACCTGTCATTCCCTTACGTATAGTACATGACAGCTCATATTTTTTTCATGAAATTTTGTAAAATACGCTAAAAATATAATTGGGTATGTAAATATCTGTTAAACATCATGTTTGCCACCTTTGTTACCATCATTTTTATAATGCACGACCCAAAAATGAAAGTATTTAGCAGCGAAGAAAAAACACGGCTATCCCTGTTGCTAATTTGACAAAAACTTTTCTAGCTTCGACAGAGAGATCGTTAAAAAGGAGCTAAAAATTTCTCAAAAGATGAGGAAATAATTTTAATATCATTGGTCAGTAAAATTGAAAACATAATAGAGAGCAAAAAAGTAGCACAGATTTTTAGAAAGAGAAAAGTTCTGCTTCGACAGTCTGTTTTGTAAGACAAAGTCCTTCTACACGCATCCACGTCGTAATTCATGAGCATGTTTTAGCTATAATTTATATTTGTCCATAAAGTGATATGAATTTGTGAATTCTTAAATAAGTATTAAAGTCGTTGTCAACAAATGTCGAGTATTTACATCCTTTATAATTACTCATAGCTGCTCTTCTGGTTAAAGCTAACCACCGTTTTACTATAGATAGTGAAAAACGCTTTTTCATTGATAACTATAGGACATTTTTGGAACTTTCCTCATACTTCATTATAATTGTGTTATTCAGAAAGGACGTTCATACCTTGACAGAGCATCATCAAGGGGTTCATTTTAATCCAAAGCTAATGTACTATGACTATGCATCATGTATAATTATAAGAGACTTTTAAAGTAATAAATTGCCGCCAAGGTTAGTCGCGCTATCAAGTCGCTCTGTATTTTTATGACCTAATGCATTCAAATGTATATGTAACATTAATGACATAGTGCGACGTTACTAAGAATTAATGTACTGTGCGCTACGAATAGTTCTTAATTCTCATAGGACATGTTTTTCGGAGGGTCAGCGTAACGTTCGACTAGCGATCTTGAAAAGAGATTTAAGTACCGACGGATGGTTTGGGGTATCATATACGTGGAAGTTTATTCATTCGATCGAAGTGACAAATACGTCTAAACGTTGATCCAAAGCTGTTCTCTGGCAAGTCCACGGTTTTAAAGATTGTCCAAATCTAAAGCAGTCAAGACCTGCTCTCTATAAGTAGCAGCAATGGCGTATAAATGTACAGTTACCATGAAGACGAGGACGACAACCACGAGGAGGCCGTGGAAGTCGCAGCCGAAATCATGAGGAGTCGACCACCTGGCCAGGAGACGGATCACCCCTCCAGTCCAGAGGAAATCCGTCTGATCATCCGCAGGTTGAAGGTCAGAAAGGCGCCGGGAAGGGACGGCATCAACAATAGGATGCTGAATAACCTTCCCACCAAAGGCATTGCTGCGCTCACCAACATCGCCAATGCCACTCTGAGACTTAATCACTTCCCGCGGCGGTGGCGGGAAGCCCAGGTTATAATGCTCACCAAGCCAGGCAAGGACCGGAAGTTGCCCCAGAACTACCGGCCCATCAGCCTGGTTTCCTCGATGGGCAAAGTAGTCGAAAAGGCTATCGCCGTTCGACTAGAGAAGCTGGCAGAAGAACTGCAACTTCTCCCCCCAGAGCAATTCGGCTTCAGATCCTCCCACAACACGGAACTCCAAGCGCTACGACTGACGGAAAACATCACCAGCGGCTTCAATCTCCAGGAGGCGACCGCTCTCGTCCTGCTGGACGTGGAACGAGCCTTCGACCGAGTTTGGCACGATGGACTCATCGCCAAAATGGAAGCCGCCGGAATCGATGCGAACATGTGCCAACTGATCCAGAGCTATCTAACACAAAGATGGTTCACGGTGAAGATTGGTACATGCCATTCAACAAGACGACAGCTGGAAGCAGGCGTGCCCCAGGGGTCAGCCGTAGCCCCCCTGCTCTACAACATCTATACTCACGATGTGCCGAAGACAGCTGACACAATGCTGGCCCTATATGCAGACGACACTGCTATAGCCGCCAAGCATAGACGACCCGATATCATCCGTAGGAGACTACAGGATGAACTGGACCACATCCAGGACTGGTGCGTGAAATGGAAAATCCGCATCAACGTCCAGAAGACGCAGGCAATCTTCATTCAACGAAGAAGGATTGCAAGACCTCTCGAAGCATCCATCTTCGACGAAGATATCCAGTGGAGCGACAAAGTCAAATATCTGGGGATCGTATTTGACAAGTCCCTCACCTGGAAAGCCCACATAGAAGCTGTCATCGCAAAGACCAGAGCAGCCATGGCTCAACTCTACCCATTACTGGGTAGACACAGCCGGATGCCGCTAGCGACCAAGCTACGGCTGATCAAGGCCATCGCCAGACCTCAGCTCGCTTACGCCTCCGCGGTCTGGGGGTACGCTGCCCTCAGCTACCGCAAGCTACTCCGGATCGCCACCAGTGCACCATCCTACGTAAGAAACTCAACCTTGCGTAGAGACCTGCATTGGGACACCATCCACGAGTACATGAGGAAAAAAGCGGAGAAGACCTTCGAGAAAGCTCAAGACCACCCGAACGAGCAGCTACGATTCCTCATGGACTACGATCCGGACGAGAGGCCTCGCAACCGCAGAACCAGGTACCCTAGACCATGGTCCCAGTTGGCACCCGCTAACTGGAACCTTGACTAGGAGACTAGGAGAACCCGCGGTTGCTCTGCCCCCCACGGCGTGGATGCAGAGGACCAGGAACCACCAGGACCAGGACCCGCCACGACCAGGACCCACCAGGACCAGGACCCTTCAGGACCAGGACCAGGAACAACATATTGGTAAGAGGACTTGAAACTCTTGATTTTTCGAAAACAAGAGTTTCAAGAGAACCAGCAGACCCTCTATCGATGATCGCTTAACGACATCGATAGAATGTGCGAGGTAAAGGGAACCAACCCGGCGTTCCCAGAGACTGAAACACATGAGGAGACGTTGTAGCAGACCGCAGGTCACGCACAACACATGGCCTACCGAGACGCTGATGAGTCGGGCCACGCGGAGGTTTAGGGTTTAGTGGGTATTAGGTGATCTCCTCAAGACCCTGGAGTCCCACACACGCCGTAGCTCGGGCTATGGTATGGTGCGTAAATGCATTCCCCCCTCACCAAAAAAAAAAAAAAAAAAATGTACAGTAGGTACTGGATATTTTAGACACAGAGTTAATCACGGCTGTTATAACCTAAGTTTATAAGAGCCTTTTACGCTATTTTTAAGTACCTTGTGAGCTGGAACAGTGTTTCCACGTCCATGTAACAGAAATCGGAACTCTATTTCCATAGAACAAATGACAATATCGACTGCACCGTTTTTACTTGATGTACAGCAATTATCTGTCTCTAGTCTCCTAAAATATTCTATCAGTTTTTAACTTGACATTTCGATGTCCTCTTCTAGAAGACGAAGTAATAAATGCCGTTGTGTAATGTAAATTTACATCAAAATTAACTGACGGTGGATGCCATTAAATAATAGTGAGACTTGTTCCCCGCTAACACTTTTGAAATCGAAACATCTATGCCAATGATTTGCTCCATTCAAAGTATCTCACTTTGTATATTTCATACAGATTACCATCCAGAGTTACGTAAAGGTGTTTAACGGGTTACTAGTTAATGACTCCAATATTATTTCTTCAACATATATGGGAAATAAGTGTAGTTTGATGAAACACATGTAATGAAAAAGTATACATTGAAAAAATACCACTGAAGTCGTAATGTGTACGAGAGACAAGCGCGAGAAGTGTGCAATACGAGTGTTAAAAGAGCACCTCGTTGCATAGCCACCCACTCTTTCTAAAACATATTGCACGTTTCTCTTTCGTATACATTACGACGTCACCTAAATTTGAACCTCACCGTATAAAAGCAACACGCAGTCTCAGGATACCTCAAGACCAAGCCGATGCAGCCAATCGCTGCAGACTATTTTTGAGGTAATTCAACTCTCACTGACTTCCCTCATTATAAGGCTTTTTGTGAAGTAAATCACAACAAACTCCTTGTTCCAATCTTGACGACCCCTCCTTGTAAGGCTTGGGACGGGAGTAGTCTCATAGTAGCAATCAGATTAAGGTTTTTGGAAGTATATTTCGCAGACTGCGCTTAACAAACACCTGTATCCCAATCTTTATACAGCTAATGGAAGTAACAGGTAATTCAAACGAAGTCTCCAATAACACAAACATACGCACTCTGCTTATTATTCACGAAGACTACCGCAAGGTGTAGTTTCGAGATCAAAGCGAGAGCTCCTGTTTATTATTTGGCATATAAATTGAAAAACAGCACCAGAGCTTCATACAAATGATGCTTATAAGGTATCGGATACGACGCGAAGTTGTACGCCACTCAAAAGAATAAAAAAGGTTGACGGAATTGATATTACAATTTTTATTGACAAATGGAGGAAGCGTAGATGCTGCCTCCACTGCCTCCCCGACGCGGATCAATATCGGTCTTGTCAATTTGTATTTTCATGGAATATCTAGAATATGCGTATTTGTGTTCTTCCCCAGAAACACTAGGTACTTGGTGAACCAATGAAGATTTGGTGAAGTAACAAAATAGAGAGTTATAGCAAGCACACTATCGCATACGTAGATATTATATACAAGATGTTCTTTGTAGTGTATTCACATGCCCTTGAGAGATTTGTAGAAATTCCAAACATCATTTTTACTATTTCTGACTTATTATTGGCACTTTTTAGGCAGTACATGATGGTGATTTCAAATTTTGCGTCCGACGGTTCGTTTTCGACAAATCATCAACAATTTTATTTTTCCATATGACCCGAAAAAAGGTCCACCCTGTATCTGATAGCATTTCTTATACGAATTCAAAGAAATAAAAAGTATTTGAGCAAATTTTAGTTTTTCCCAAATAGCTCAGTAGTAAGGTTTTTATAAGTTTCTCAACAGTACGTAGATACGCCGCAAAGAACGCAACTTTTATCCCAGGTATTGAAATCCCCATGCACAGGATCTTTATCTTGGACACCCTAAATATGGACCACATCATAATGACTTGAAATGCATCTAAGGCCCGTATCGTCAGTCGTCCCTACAATTGTAGGGCGCCTTTATGGCCTCCTTGATTGTCATCCTCCTTTCTCTGCATCAAAAATTTCTAGATTACACTTGACCTGTGTCAGCGTCAGCGCTCTCCTATTGTGAAGATATGTTTTCTTTTTAAATTGTAGGGAATTTCAGGCTGATAAAACATGATATAACTCAAAAGCAAGCATGATTTGATGCAAATAGATGTTTGTGACATAAACTCAATATAGAGTTCTGACACGAAGAAGCAGAAAACTATGACAATCAAGGAGGCCATAAAGGCGCCCTACAATTGTAGGGACGACTGACGATACGGGCCTAAATAAGTTTCCTAAGAAGTTAAAAATTAGTGGATGGATAACAAACTGCGTTTTAGGAAGCATAATATAAGAAGCTTATATTGCATTAAGCAAGTTATATTGTAGAGGAACTTCCTACCTAAAAATCAACGTTTATTGTTTGTTGGAAAGTATAAAGGGGTAATGATTCAAGTAAACAAGTACTTTTCATCTGTCTCAAACAAGCCTTTTTGAGATTTTCGAATTTGTTCAGTCTATAGTACATCTAAATTGTCAGCTTACACACAGTTCACTAACAGTGAAATATGCTTTGGACAAAACATGAACGTTATTATTTATATTTTGCAACGCCAGTATGTCCGAGGAATTTTCAAACATCCGTTGATCATGTTCATTTTTCATCGACAAACTATAGTAGAGGATCTGTCCTGAAATCGTCCTCCACCGGTGTGTCAACCAAATGCAAAATGACATTTTATTGAATGAAATAAGTTTCTGAACATACTTTGATTAGGCAACCCTTCATAAAATGGGCATAGATATATTTAATTGAAATTATGAAAAATTATAATTTTTCAAAATTTCGCTGGCGTGTCAACCAAACAAAACAAACTCCAATGAAAGGTTTATAATGTACACAAAATGCAGTTCCTCAGTTGCTTACCTTTTTGTGGTCCCTATTACCTGGCAGCTGCATTTAAACAGCTAAGTCGATAATAGTAGTTGCACTCTTCTGTCAACCAATCGAGACCAGTCTTAAAATGAAAACAATTTAATTATAAATCACGTAGTGTAGGGTTCATAGATAGTGATTGTAAGACTTTAAGTTGAAAAATCGGCACTGGTATCCCGTATCTTGAAAAGTGACATTATGCCGTTTTTTTGACATTACGCTGGTTTTGTTTGACATTATGTAGGTTATTCTACATGGTGTTAACTTAGCACTTAGTTGTACGTATTGCCTGAACGTCATGAGGCTTGTTATAAACCTTTGGCTCTGATAAGATGTAAAATCTGCTTCTGAGATGGCATTACTAGAGGTCTAAGCTGTAAGTTGTATGTGTTGATGATAATTACATTGGGTTCTTGTCTCAAACACACTTAATTGAGATTCAAAGCTAGAAATTAGTTGCGCATCCTCTTTTTCTTATCCATTCTGGAAATTACATATACAAATTTACTGAATTTCAAAAATGAGAGAGATAATAAAAAATTATATTCACTGTACACTGTCGAATAACAAGCCATATACATACTAACGGTAATTACACACAACGCGGGCGCGGTGATGATCTCCCGTCATTCTCTTCAGTTTTTCGTGATTTATAACTTTGACCATAACATCTGTTCAGAAAGCACAACATATAAATAACCCGTGATATTCGGCATATTCAGTAATGATTTTCTCACACAGCAAATATCACTGATTTTATACACATGCAGACCAATACGAGTAGTACATAATCATCCAGATGCGATCTTGCTATTCAACCAACTGTCTCCGCAGAGATGAAAACTACAGACAAGGACCATTTGGCCTCGCAAAACTATGCAACCAATAATGCGTAGTTTAGTTGAGTGATTCCTCCATAGATGGAAGTTCATAACGATCCTAGTGAGCAAACGTGGAATGACTGTTTGCGCCCTAAAAGCTACATAGTCTGCTTGTTGACATCTTATAGGTTTTTTTTGACGTTTTATAGGTTTTTTACATGACACCCGTGCGGGGCGAGCAAAATCTTTAGACCGAGAGGCATTGCGCCGTAAACTGTGATTGAGTGCGCAGATTGTATACTCATAGTAAAGACAAGGATAAATGAATTTACTATAGAGCAGTGTTTTGAGGAATCAGTTAGTATTGTAAAAATAAATTATAAATGACGAAAAAAGACGCAAGACGCAAGGTGCAAAAAAGTGACTCTGTAATTGATTTTAATGACAAGCCGTTCGAGCATTGCTCTTTAAAGTTATCGTTTCGACAGTTTAAGGGCCGGTTGTTCAACTCCAGTTTAAACCGCTGTTCAGATTGAACTAAGTTCAAAGTTGAAAGTCAGTTGTACAAATAAAGCTCAAGGCTTGAACCCAGTTCAAGTAGGCATAGAACCTGACCGGTCGATGTCCCTCGGTTAAACTCAGTTCAATGTGAGTAACATAAATATCGTAGCAAAGTTTAGCGAAGGAGTTGTGTGTTAAGTTTAAAAATGGACATTCCCGAAGAGATAACTGATGATGAGGACTTCTTAGAATTAATAACCATCGTACATATACCCAGGTTACCCAAAACTTACAAACAGAGACCTGATAATTTTCGGATTTGGAACGACACTCAATTCTTGCAACGTTTTCGGTTATCAAAAAGTATTATATATATTCCTGAAGGGTGCATATTGTGCTCCAAATTGAAGAATAAATATCATTACCTATTTCAAATTTTATATATTTTATATATATATTTTTAAACATAATTTTTTTATAAATTTATACAAACACCAACTTATGGGAAGGCTGTGTTGCATCTAAATTGAAAAATCGTTCTTTCATTGTCGGTGAATTTGCAAAAACCATCTGAGCTGCTCAAAGGCTACTCACTCTACATGAATGGCCCTGGGTTGATATAATGCGGGTGGGATTTGGACAAATGTGTATAAAAGCTATTTTTTTATAGAAATCATGCCCTCACGCCAGATGATATGGTCTTTGTTACGCTACGTTACCTTGCAACTGGGTCCTTTTTGCAAGTAATAGGGGATGTACAAGGTATGGACAAAGGAACTGCAAGCAGGGCTGTGTCGAAAGTTATAAAATCATTAGCAGTCCATTTTAAAGAATTAATAAAAATGCCTGAAAATGGCGAAGAGAGAACTGCGATACGTCAAGAATTTTTCAATATTGCTAGATTTCCTAGGTGCATAGGAGCTTTAGCCTGCACCCACATTAAAATAAAATCTCCAGGTGGTGCAGACCCAGAGAATTATAGGAACAGGAAAGGTTTCTTTTCCTATAATGTACAGGTGATTTGTGATGCCACTTTGAAAATACAAAATATAGTTTGCCGTTGGCCAGGTGCATCACATGATGCAAATATATTTGCAAATAGTAGAGTTCGAGCCTTATTTGAAACTGGACATTTTGGCGATAGTTTGTTGGTTGCAGATAGTGGTTATGGTATTAAGCCATATTTAATCACACCACTAAGCCGACCTGAAACTCAGAGTCAACACTTATTTAATGAATCTCAAATTCGCACAAGGAATCCTGTCGAGAGATGCTTCGGGGTATGGAAAAGACGTTTCCCCATCTTAGCATTAGGAATTCGTGTAGCGAAAGAAAAAATTGAGCCAGTAGTTGTTGCAACAGCAGCCTTGCATAACCTAGCAATTATCATGAAAGACCCACAACCTGCAATAAATAATGAAATTGAAGCAGCAGTTGAATTCATTAACAACTTTGATATTGTACCAGTCCCAGTTGGAGGTCAAGATGCATCTAATAATAGGACACGATTATTGTTAATCAATTATTTCCAGGATTTATTGTGAATGATTCAAAAATTCAGTTTTTAGTATTTTTCTAATGTTATCTTCGTTTCATACTAAGTGAAAGTGAAAGATATAAATGATGCAATAAAGAATATTGGAGATTTTATGTATTTATTCAAAATAGGTAAATAAGATGGCAAGATTAAGAAAATCAAATTTTATATTTATTTAACAGATACTGTTTTTCCATATTTAACATTTCCATTTTAATGTTATGTACCTCATCTTCCCTCTTTTTTCTCTCTTCATACTCCAGTTGCATTATTTCCAGTTTATTTTTGTTTTCTTTCATCAGTAGCTGTTTTTTCATTTCAGATTAATCCAAAAGGCATTTTTCTTTAGAATCTTCCAATGGTTTTTTGGATTCGACCCATTTTTTCATTTTTGTGCAAATAGCACCCCTTTTTTTGAGCAGTCGGTCTTCACTAAAATTAAAATGTTTAAGGAACATCTTATTGTGATCCACATTTACTAGCAACATATAGTATTTTATTACTAATTTCATCAACAAGAACAAAAAAAAATTTACAGCACAACATGCAAAAACTTTCGATTTTAGTACTAGAAGTAACAATTCCTTTTTGAAATTCGTAATGAATATGAAATATTTCTGGAGATTATAATGTAGATTACCTTCTGCAGCTCTCAGAGCACTTGATTTTGGTGTGCGCAAAAGGGATGTACTTAATTTGCTCCAGTCCCTCGTTTGATGTCTACTGGATTCTGGACCTTCTAAACGATGCGCTATTTGATTTTCTTTATCTGTAAAATCATGAATAAATGAGGATTCGCCACAATAAGGCACATATATTGTGTGTATTTACTAGCAACAGGTAGTATTTTATTACTAATTCAATCAACAAGAACAGAAAAAATCTACAGCATAATATGAAAAACTTTCCATTTAAGTTCTAAAATAGGTTTTTTTATTTTCATAATTCAAGATAAATGCCATTATAAAAAGCATGCAGTAATGACGACATAATAGTTCTGTAGATTTTAATGTAGATTACCTTCTGGAGTTCTCAGAGCACTTGATTTTAGTGTGCACAAAGGGGATGTATTTAACTTGCTCCCCTCCTCCGCCTGATGACTACTGGCCTTTGGACCTTCTAAATGAGACACTTCTTGATTTTCTTTATCTGGAAAATCATAAATAAATGATAACATCAAAACTATTTATTTTATTAGTACCACTGTTTTGAACTTCCTGTGTCTCCTCTGAAGTGATTTCATCTGAAACACCTTAAATTAATAAAAGTACATTATTTAACATACATTCGAAACTTATATTCCTCAATAATTAAGTCCCTGCATGTAGCATTCTCAGCTATGTCACAGACAACTAAAAATAAAATTAACTTAAAAATATATTCACTCAACACAATCCGGCTTCCTTACTCATGTCATCATCATACGCTGAAGGGTGTCCTTCTATTCGGACACCTAAAATGTCTTTGACTTGTTCATCAATATCGGTGAAATGAACTGTTTTTGAGGCACCTCCTCCTGTAGCAAACAGGGAACACTTCTCCTGTGAGAACTTCTTCTTTGACCTTTTTTTGATATTGTCATATTTATTCTTCAATGTTTTACTATCCCTGTAGGTCACCGCTCCACTGTTAAACTCTTTTGCAATCATATTCCATGTCTTTGCTTTTGAAGAGTTTGTTACTGCATCCGTTTTACGACATTCAATAACATCTTTATATTTATTCACCAGTCTAATTAAAAGGGATTCTTCTTCCCTGCTAAAGTTACTTGTTCTCTTAGGTGCACTCATTTTTTCAAATAAATCCACTACTACGAAGAGAAAGAATCAGCAGCAATTATATTTTTAATAAATATAACATAGGAAAGATAATGAAGCAATTATATACCTACCCGCTCTCCTGCGGATGTTGCGATATATTTATAGTCGAGAATAACAAGCTAACTTCAAAAAATCGCCAAAAAATGATTCCAGATTGAACCTATCGCTTCGGCCTATAAGTAAAAGCAAGTGAAAGTAGGGTTATGACTTCGGTCAAAATCACGTCAAAATGACATTATTGACAAGTCTTATCATTCCGTGCCTAATAACATAGTGCTTATGGTATTACCAACTGCTGCATATTTGAGGTTCAGTGGAACCGAGCTTGACTGACAGATGAACAACGCACATGCATTTGAACTAAGTTCATATTTTAACTGGAGTTCAGGTGATCTACAGTTTAACCGAAAGTTGAACAACCGGCCCTAAAGGTTTCAAATACAGTGACGTCAAGTTAACCAAAGATTCAATTAAGGTTGAAGGTTATCATTTCTCTTGTTATAAAATAGTAACAGCTTTAAAAAAATTACAAACGCGACTTCGATGTATTTATCAAAAACCTTGAAGTAAGTATATTGTCAATTACGTTCTTTCATAAAATTGTTTTCCAAACTTTGTTTCAACACAATATCTCAGTTATTTAAATTAAACCGGAAACTTATAAAAGTAAAAAAAACATTAAAAAGCTAGTTTATTTTTCACTTAGAATGGCATAGTGGCATACAATTATTTTTCTTTAAATTAGAATAGCATACAAATTTTATGTATTACTATTTGTATCAATCACTCAAATCATATGTTCAGGAGAATTCAAGTACTTCTACGGGCGATAAACATCCAAAATCTTTGACATCAAACCAGACCAGACACCTTTGAGAATAAATGATATTTTATACATGACAGAAAACGAAAACGAGTAAACTTCCTCTGACTTGGAGAACGATACAACTTCCGGTGACTCCGATCCTGAATAATAATCATTCATCGCTATGTTTTGTATTAGGTATCACTTATTTTGATGTGTTTTTTTTTTAATAAAAAAAAATATTCCAAGTGCGTATTAATGTTTTTTTAAGAATATTGTTATTTTTGTTTTAAAATTATTTTTCGTTTCTACTTTGAATCATTTTAACTGTGCGACGTAGAGGTAAAAATGGATTTCTTATATCAAAATAAATTGATAGCAGCTTTCAACTTAGAAATCCTCACACTATTACATGTTTTAATAAAAATTAATAGAACGGTATTAGCAAAAAAAAATTTCCTATCCTCCAAAATTTCTGACTCCCAATTTCCATGTTGGTATTTAACAAAAGTCGTTTTGAATTACAAAAAAAAGATGATTTTGTCAACTAAAGTAAAAAATCTCATTGACGGGCGACATTTCACTGACGAAAATTAAGCTTATTATGAATATTTTCACTAGTATGACCAAGGGTTTCTTAACCGAACTGACTATGTTACCTCTGGCATACCTCATATACTAACAACAAAACTAATACGTCTGATAAAAATGATTTAGACAACTTCAGGGGTGCCGGGTACGATATCCTAAAGCGTATCTGCTGAAACCATCTTGCGTATGATTATCCTTCCTTGCGTGTTGCATATCTAAACCGTTTGCAATGCCCCAGAAAACAGCTTGTTCGCTATAATTTTGTATCCCAACATAAAAACACTTGTCTATTTCAAAGTCTGCTGCCCATCCATTCAGTGGCTTTTCACGCGTGTACCGTTTTTCTATTTCCTCTTTTCTATGATGCGATAATATGTAGATACAATGGATTACCGTCTACTTCTTACGGTACCTTCTACAGTTCTTTTCAAGGAAGATGATTAATTTTTTGCGTTAAATAATTGCGAAAAGTAGTGCTGTACTGCTAAACAGTTACACATTGTTTCGTTAAGCCATGTCGGTAAGGTGATGGACATGTTTTCCTCTGTGACTAGGCGAGTTTTCCCCCACGATCAATGTACCGAGAAACAGTTTCATCGATCTGAATCGGATAGCTATGCAGACTACCGTCCAATTTCGAATATACATGTTTCCTTCGTGACTAAACATTTTTTTCTTCGCAATTCTTTTGAGCATCAAGTACAAGATAACATAACAACCATAACAAATACTATGAATGCAAATTAACTTACGTAGTGATTTTTATCTAACTCCTATCCTACGGAGGCGTCGATTTGAGGGCAATTTATAGTAGCCTCTATTGTAGCAATGGGTATAAGGCTATATCTTTTCAAGGCTCTTCGAGATCTTACTTTAAAAATTACAAATTTTATTTCTATAGATCAACATGGTTTCATGAGGCAGAGTTGAAACTTAATAAATTTTATGCCACTTAGCTAGTATTGGACAAGTGGAGGACAGGCGGATGTGGTGTACACCGATTTATAATGGCTATATCACATGCCTATGTTTCAACCAGAAGTGTTCCACAGGGTTCAAATATGGAACCATTGCTCATATTATTCGTTAATAATCTGTAAGAATCTTTGAGTTGATCTAAGTTGATATTCTCAGGTGATCTGGAATTTCATTCATCGGTCTGCTGCTTAGAGATAAATAGATAGATTGTCCCATAATACTTTCACAAAAACAGTTCCTCGTAGCACGACTAACATCTAGATGTAATGTTTGTTCCTCTGTCGTGCCAAAGAATTCAAAAGAATTCACTGTCGAAAGCATCAGTTAGCATGATGCGTGTGTGAATGCTAATCAAACTAAATACTGGTACATTCAGCTGTACATTCATCCCTGTCTCCAAGCTATATTCGCTAATCCGTCGGACGATATCGGCTATTACCATTTGAAGCATTTGGCCGATAAACTTCTAAGTGATCTTCATAATCTTTTAATTCGCCTGACGGATTGGTTGACCGCCATCTGAATTGCTTGTCAAATAGAATTGCAAAATCAATTTCACTATACCCTTCAACATGACCTTAAACACTACACAGTTTAATTAATCCTAATATGTTATGCTCAAAATCGTGTCAGAGTTTTCCCTTTTATCTGCGAAAGGGCTTTTCTTGGATACTGGGACCCTGCAGTGGGTTAAGGTGTATATCTAAACTTATAACTTCTACTTAACACATGTGTGTAACATAAACAATCCGAACCTGTAGCTGCCATTGAATCTAATACCAGCAGAGTTAGCGAAGTGATGACTCTAGCTGCCCCCAGTCTATTCCATTTTATGGAGGAAAGAGAGAGAGAGGAAAAATTGGAAAAGGGGTCGGGATAAAGTGAAACACGGTCGGTCCATGCATATTGCATGAACCATCGATATCAACTGCTTTATCATTTCATAATGCGACCGTATCTACGTTGTGTCGTCGTCGATACTCTCCAGACTACGTGGGAAAAGATTTTCTGATCACTTTATATTTTCTATTTTTAGTGCTGCTGCTGGACCAGCGGCGGAGATTTCATCCCCGCATCCGGTCTGGTTCAACGCACGTAGCATGACTATATGTCAGAATTCTTC